AATAATTCTTTTGAAAAAAACAAAAAATCAAAATTTAAAATTAATTGTACATTATAAATTTTGAATTATACATGATATATAATTATAAAATATATATTTTAAACATATTTAAAATTGATCAGAATGCTTTTTAAAGTTTAAAACAAGAATAAAAACAATAAAATAAAGAAATAAGTTTATTGGCCCTTGGTCCTTAAATGTGGGGCACAAAACAATTATATATTAACAAAAAAAAAAAATAAAATATGTAAAATATTTAGTTAATTATTATTATTATAATATTTTAGTTTTAAAATAATTATATAATTTAGATATATTTTAATTTTAAAATTTTTATTTTATTATATAGAGTAAATTTTTTTTTTTTTTAAGAAAATGTGTAGTCATTTATATTTAAATTATAATATTAAGATTATTTTTTATATAATTTAATTTAATTAAGATAAATTTAATAGTTTTAAATTTAAAAGTTTAAATTTAAATAAAATTGAAACCTTTTTTTTTATTATTGTTTAATTAATTGCCATTTTAATCTATATTGAAAAGGGAAGGTTCTTAACTAATAACAATAAAAATTATAACATTAAAACTATTAAAAATTGGTTATTTTCTATTACATAAAAAATTCAAAATAAATAATTAATATTTATTATTAATAGTAAAATATTAAATATTATAATTATTTAAAAAATTCAAATTTATATTTTAATATTAATATTTTAATTTTATATTTTCTTAAATATTCCATTTAAATACCGAATTTAAAATTGTCATTATTTTAATAATTCATGGCCTATATCTAAATTATAAATAATAATCTATTGTTGATATATACATAAGATAATATTTTAAATATCTTGTTGCAGTTATAAATTATAGATTGAAGCAATTATGCACCGTGACTTTAAAAAATCTATTATGCCCCTATTACTGCAGTTGATAACCTTCTCTTTTTTTTTGTTTTGATTTTTCATTTTTGCCATATTAAATTTTATTATTAAACATGAATTTACGAATATATAATAATATTTATATTATTAATATAATATAATAAACTTAATTGTGTTATAAATAATATTTATATATTTTTTTGGTTTATTATTTATCAATATAAATATATTCATAAAAATTCATTGATTACATACTGTATGCATAAATTTATATTAAAAATAAAAATTTATAAAATATATTTGTATATAAATGAAAAATATATGTTAAAAAATTATCAATATAAAAAAATTGTTTAACATAAAAAATTTAGTAATAATAGTTAAATTACTTAAATATATACTATTAAATTATGTACATACATACATATATAATGCTTAATAACTTAACTTAAATTTAAATTTTATTCTATTCCACCATTAAAAATTTTTTTGCTGAATAATTAAAATTGAACATATTAAATATGAATTTAAAAAAAAACCCAGAAGTACAAGCTATTCAATTTTTATTCAAGTAATAAAGTACTACAAAAAGTATTTTTATTTAAAAAAAAAAAAATAAAATTAATAAATTATTTTAAAATTTGAAATTTTGATTAAAATTTGAAATTTTGATTAAAATTCTTATATTGAATTTTTTTTACTCCTATATAGTAAAAATGCAAAACTAAAAAAATTATTAAATTAATTTAACTATTTTTAATTAAATAATTTATAAAACCGTGTTTATATTTGATAAAAATTATTGGAAATATAATAATTTCCTTTCAATTGTTAACAAAATTATTTAAAAAACAAATATTTGAAAATAAAATCATAAAATTGTTACAAATTATTAAGATTTCTAAATATAGAAATATTTTAGCCGGAAAATTGTCAACAAAACTTCTATTACAAATAGTCATTTCCAGGGCCCTATTTTACAAATCATTTTTTAATAAGTAATTTGGCCCTAGGTCGTTTGAGTTTTTACATTTAAAAAGTTTTTAACATCTTTTCTCGTATAAATTTAATTTTCATCAATATTAACTAGGACAATAACTAAAAACAAAAATTATATATTGAAAATATTTAACAAAAAAAAAAATAAAAATACATAATATTTTAGTTTCATTAAAATCAAAATCAAAGAAATATATAGAATTTTATGGTAACATTTTAATAAAAATTTATTAAAAACAAAAGACAAAATCAAATATATTATATAATTTTTGCAAAATTATAAATAAAAATCTTCTGTTTTTATATAAATAAATTTACATTTGAGAAAATATAATATTATAAAATATACACTTTTTTTTTTAATAAAATTATTGAAAAATATTTTATGGAACTGACAAAATACAATGCTTTACTTTTTACATTTTACAACTACATTATATAAATTAAAATAAAAATCAATGTTTAATTCGAAAATATGTACTTTAATCACTTGATAAAATCAAAACAGCATTATATATAATATAAAAATTATAATATTTACATAATTTAAAAAGCTATATATATATAAGGTATATACAAAATACATCTTTATGTTCATAAATATCTTCCACTTTATACAAACTCATATAATACTGTAACTAAATAATATTGTAACTATCATTGACTAACTAATTATTATTAAAAAAAAAAAATGCAGAAAAAATTATATTAAATGTTCCATTCTCCAATATTTCTAAAATACTATTAACTATGCTATTATTATTATATACCTATATTTTCTTTTATATTTATTAAATATTATACACAAATATACATATATATATATATAAACGAAAATAAATTGATTACAAATATATTATAAATGCAACAAACAATATTTTAAATAATGTGTTCCATAATTTCAAAATTGCAGTAAAACAACTCATAAGCTGAATTTGTATATTTAATACCGTATTATACTGCAATTTTTGAAGTTAGGGATTTTGTTTATAAATGCATATATATGTACATATAAAATATACAATTATTATACATTGAAATTTAAAAGCGAAAATACTATATTTATATTAATTACATTATAAAATATTTATTTTATAATATTGCTTTTTATCGCTTTACTGCGTGATAAGTTTATAACACGCATTTAAACAACAAACTAATCCTATGATTTTAAAAATTGCAGTAATAACGGTATTAAATTATCATATAATTCAGCTAATTTGTTATAATTGTTGGATTATTTAGCGTAATACAGTATTATTGCAATTTCAAAGAAACGGGAACTTAAATGTTACAGATCATAAGAAATCAATAAATAATTAAAAAACAAAAACAAGATAAATATAGGAAAAACTAGTATGCATGATTTCAAAATTGCAGCAATGCAATATAAATACATAATTTAGGAATTATAAATCATAAGCTGAATTTTATATTAATACTTTATTATTGTAATTTTGAAGTCAGTGAATATTTCAGAATCAAATTTCAAAATAATATTATATTAATTACATAATATTATGAAATTTTTTTGTAATTTACTATAAACACATAATATCATCACAACAAAAAATACAATATTGTTTTCCATTCAAATTAAAATAGAATTTTATATAATTATTGATATAAAACAAATTAAAAGTAAAAAAAAAAAATTGAAAATAAATAAGTAAACATTTAAAACAAATGAGATTCATTATAAAAATTTAATTAATATATGAGAAACCATTATACAATTAAAATTTATTATTTATTATTTAAAATTATAAATATAACATTTAATCAAAAATGATACTAAAATAAAAAAAAAACATTAAATATTACATCATATAAATTATATTTTTTAATTTATTTTGCAAATGTTGTTTTTAATTCTATAAGTTTATTATTATAAAGTGAAGATTATATAGTTATTGATATAAAAATAAAAAAAAAAAGAGATTATTATATTAAATAGTAAAGAAAAGAAAAATAGAAATGATACACTTACATATAGATATATAATGTACCTATATACATATTATATATATATATGTACACAAAATTTAGTTCTCCTAATAAAAACAAAAGGCAAAAAAAAAATATATATAAATATATGTATACATATACAAAAAAAAATTTTAAATTGTTTTATTTTTAGTATAGGTATTTAAAAAGCCTTGCAAAATTTTGCATATTAAGAGATTTTTATTAACGCAATACTGCAAAAAAAAAAAATAACTGCGAAACGCAATATCGCAAAAACGTAACGCAATGCATATGCCATAATATAAAATGTTTATTTAATCCAGAAAAAGTCAAAACAATTCATATGATTCAACTGCACTACTCATGCTAATTTCGGTATTAAGTTGAAAGCAGAACAAAAGCGACAATCTGCGGCAAAATGTCAAAATTCATTTGTATTTGAATAAGGTTAGCAAAACTTGAATACTTCAATAGTATTCATATAAATATTTGACAGAAAACGTACGTTATGCCTTGTCTTTCAGGTTAAAATAAGATTCATAAATAGTTGCTACCGCAAATATAATATTCAATAAGCGCATTCTTCAATATTAGAGAATTGAAATATACAGTGAAACGAACATAAAATAATTTGCCAAATAAAATTTTTTTAATTTCATACAATTTGTCATTTGTACTTCGAATTGAGTATGTTAAACCAGAAAGAAAAAATTTTTTGCATATACATTCATTAACTTCGACGATTCTCAAATGCCGAACACAAATTTAGATTTTGCTTTGTTCAATATTACAGTTTTACATTTATAGTTTTTTTTATACTTGCTCAGAAAAATATTTTATTGAAGTAATTTCACATTACTTGTCAACAACTTTCCCATATAAATCATAATTAATCGCAAAATAAAAAAAATCTCAAAAAAGAAACAAAACTGTTGTCATAAAAGTTTTGTACTCGAAGTAAATTTTTTTAATACATGCAATTATTCCTTTAATAACCGCAAGATGTCATCAAATTACAATTTATCGACAACAAAAAGATCAGTGCTGCCAGAGTACTTTAATGTGATTGTCAAAATTGTTTTGAATTTTGATTTGTATTGTACGTTAAATTTTAGAAGACCGCTGCTGTATGCTGTGCTCATTTATTTATAAAATAAAATTTCAATAGATAATTTTGATTTTTAAAATTGTGCATAAATTGTTTGAAGGACATTTTTCAAATTCAAAGCTATTTTAACTTTAGTAGTATCTGCGGTGAACAATATATTAAAACTTGAGAGGTAGCAATAAATTCTGAAAAATTTCAAGAATCTTATCTTTGATTTTGAGGCTCAATGAAGTGAAAAAATGTCTGGATTGGAAAGGTTTCAAGGAACTTCCGACTGGATGCAAAAGTTTAAATCGTTATTAACAAATAATCGGTATTAATTTGATATTTCTAGTGTTTTTTTTTTTTGTATAGAATTTGATGTAGGTACAAGTTTTAGATAAGTGAATTTCGGTTCAGAAGCATGTACATGCATAGTTATTTTTAGTTTTTAGTTCCTTGGAATTTTTCAATTTCAACGTAAAGTAGCTTTTAGTTTTAAATTTTAGACGTAATTGCTAAGCATTGTTGATTCTAGAGAGTATAATAGACAAAGTTATTATTCTTCTCATCGAAATTTCATTTAATAAAATTTGAATAGGAACCTATTCAAAAATAAACAGGTTGTTTTGTTTGGTAAACAACGTATAGTATAACCAGCAGTGAGCTAACGGCAGTGTTTTTAAATTTTTTTAGTGTTCTTTTTCTGGTTCTCTTTTCAGTTGTCTAATATTTTTGTATTTGTAGAAATCCTGGAACACCACCTAGGGATCTTGACAGCTCTAGTGAAAACTCTTTTTGCTTAGAACTAAGTGGAACTTTTCAAAATATATTACAAGAAAAAAATATTCTTCCAAAAACAATGACAACTTCTTTTAAAATGGATAATAAAGAAAATTTAAATCCCGATACTGCGATGAAAGATTCAATAAATTCAAAATTGATTAAAAACAGAATTTCAACTTGTGAAGACTCAATCATGAATCCGTCTTTTATAGAAGCTACGGAGAATTCTTTTGAAATTACTAATTTTAGTTTTACAGCTATTGAACAAGCTTGTAATAAGTCTCTATCAGATCCAGACAGTACCATTCATAACTATGTAGAACAAATACGTAAAAATAATGAATCGAAAAATTCTAACATTACGGAAGACACAATTCAAGAAAACGAAGCTATAGAACGTCTCATTAAAAATCTGGAAATTCAAGAATCAAAGTATGTGTCAAAAGAAAGAACTTCTTGCACTAAATTACCTAATAGATCTGATAGAAATACTTTTGCTGATCAAACACAATTAGCTGATATTGAAGAACCTTCTGCTCTATGGGAGACTACAGTTACGGACAATAATGGAAAATATATTTCACCAACAAAGATGGTTGGGTTATTAAGACCTTCTACAATTTTAGAAGAATCATCTTCAAGTACTGAATCTAATATAACTGAAAACAGTTTTAGAACAGCGAAAAAACCTGATGCTGATCAAAACAATATTGAAAGTGATGCTGCTACTTCAGCATATGAAACAGCTTGTGATTCAATACCAAGTGATAATAATGCTAATTTTGATAATAAAGGTAATTTGACATAAACATTGTGAATATTTGAATATATGTTTATTAAAATAATTTATTTTCCTTCATTAGACAATGGGAAAAAGTCTCATGGGGAAAATGACATAGATTATGGTGCGCGATTTGCAGCAGACATGGAGGAAAGAAATTCTCAACTGTTTAATCGTTTTGAAAATGAAAAAATATCAGTCGAAAATTCTGCGAATTATGTCTTGTGTGAAGAAAATGTAGCAAAAATCTATGAAGTTGAAATAAAACAAGAAAAATCTTTTGTTCAAAGTCAAAGTAATGTCGAACTTGTCACAATTGAAATCTCAGATGACGAACTTGATGGCGAGGACAAAGAAAATGAATTAAATGAAGGATTTTCGATTCGGAAATCAGAAATAGATAATTTAATCGAAACTGAGAAAACTTTCAGAGAACAAGATTCTAGAGAAGACAGAGAAGACAAAAAACTAGAAATTTCTCATGAGCTTAATGATACATTAGAAGAAGTAGAGTATATTATGAAGCTTGGTATGCAAATGCAGAAAGATTCGGCAAAGAAACTTAAAGCAGTCGAAAATATAAAAACAGAATCGTCACAGATCTTAAATAAGTCACCAGCTTATTTAAAACCGAAACCTATTTCACCAATACCTAGTGTTTCACCAAAAACGAACGCATTTTCTGTGAGCACTGAAAATAAAACAGCTTTAGGAAAAGTTAAATATATGAATTCACCATCTTTTGCTCAAAAGGTATTTTCTCCAAAGGCTACTCAAAATACTCCACCAATAAAAAATTCATTATACGGTAAAACACTTATTAAACAGCAATCAGCAAAAAAAACGCAGGCAATAACTTCTAAAGATACATTTAAGAAACCTACTATTGGTAGCAATATTTCGAAAATTCCTGCACCAAAAGTTTTATCAAATGCAAGAAAACCATTTTATGCTGATGTTATAAGTCCTGTTGGAGCTTATATTAAAAAAACTCCGGTTTGTCCAACTGAATTAAAAATTAAGGATATGACTATAAAATCTTTAGATTATGGTCAAGCAACAGGTAAAGCAACTTTGCAATATCATCCACCAAAAAGATTCGAAAAGAAAAAAGAAAATGGTCCAAGTTTACCTCAAAAATGTTATAAATCTGCTGATTATAGATGCGTAAGTTTTTGTAATATTTTCTAATATTTATATACATAAAGGTAATATCAATTATTTTTAAGGTTGTGGACGAAAGAACACCTTTAAATATACCAGGTGGTGAAAAAATTCATAAATATTTAAAACCAGCTTTAATGCCAGCAATTGTTCGACATGATGGCAAAATGAAAATGGGTTCACCCATGATGTATAATCATTCACGAAACAATGACAATAATAAAACTGTTGATAGTACAATAACAGATTTGGCAGATTTATCAACAATTTCGGGTGATGTTTCAATTTATACATTAAGAGATGCACAAAAATTTAATTTTAATGCAAATGGAAAAAGTATGGTGTCGAAGAAGTAAAAATATTATATAAAATTAAATGCACTCGTCGGTCTTTAAACTTAATTCATATATTAAAAACAATTTCTATATTTGTTTATTTTTCTAATAATAAACAAGATTTCAAGTTTGATTTCAAGATCGTTTTGTTTAAAATTTCGTAAATTTATAATTTTTCATTGGAAAATGTTAAAAAAATCGAATTAAAACAAAATTTTTACTACAAATCTTAACTATTATTTTTTTTTTATTTTATCTTGTTGAATATTCACGTTTTACATTTATATTTTTAATAGCTAAATATAATATTATAAACACATTAAAATAACACATATTTAAAATTCATAAATTAAAAATAATATTCTTTTTTGTATTAATAACAATATTAATAAAAACTTATAAAATTTTTGCAAAAAAAAAAAATTATTTAAATTATTTTAAATTACATACATGCACACCTTAAATTAAAATTTTTAGTTTTCAAATTTCAAAATACTATATAAATTACGTCACTTTGCTATTACGCTTAATAGTCTAATTTAATTTATATTATTAGAATGCGAATGATTATTTTTGTTTTAATTATATAATTTAATACAATTACATTTTGTTTAAAAAAAAGTATTTACATAATATAAAATCAGCGCTACCAGTACAATTTGTTCATATTAATTCTTAATATAAATGTATATAATATGCATTATGTTTTAAATAAATTTGTATATTATTATTATTTTTGAACTAATCTGGTTATTGAACAATTTACCAGATGAAATTTATCAAAGTTTTTCTAAAATTTTCAATATTGATTATAAAATTTTAATACAAATCAAAAATACTAGCTCTTTTGCAATATGCAATTGGTATGTTTTTAAAATAACAATAAAGTAATAAAGTCATAAAATTGGAATCAAAATATTAGAATTGAAACGTTTTATGACCTCAATTTGTAATAATGATGTGTTACAGAACTTACAATGATTATGCGAACTATTCCATTTGGGTTGTAGAACTTTATATTTTAAGCTAATTTCTTTCGCTTTTACAATTTTGAATGATAAACATGATAATATATCATATAATAATTTTCATTACATAATTAAATGGAAATAAAATAAAAAATTTATGTAAATAGAAACACAAAAATTTTATAATTCAATCATTCTGTAACAACTCTTTACTTTTTAATTCTTCATTTTCAATTACTAAAAATTTTATTGAAGTGAATTCGATTTGAGAACGATTACTTTACACTATCTCATAATATTACTTAAAACAATTCTAGAAAACGGGGTATTTTTTTAAAAAATAAGTAAAAAAGAAATACACATTTTTAACTTCTGTTAATATAATTCAAAATTGATGCTCAAGTATTTTTAAAACCTGAATAACATTTTCTTTTATATATAGAATATGAATTTTAAATGAAATGCTTTGTTTTTCTAATCGATTTGGATTTTTTTACTAATTCCAATGGTTTTTTTTGTGGGACAGTCTGCTTGCGCTTATAAAATAATTCGATCTGCATATTTTAATATTATTAAAAGTAGTAATTGAGGCAGTCTATGATTCAATTTATTTTAATTATAATTAATTTTCTATATTGATTTTTTTTCCCTTAAGAATACTTAAAATTGACTTAAATCCTATGAACATTTAATATATTATTGATAGATGTATACCTTTCTATTAATTTTATTTTTATTATAATATGCACATTTCATAATAATCAAATGTAAAAATGTATAAATATATAAAATTTTAACTACAATATTAATATATTAATTAATATATTTTAGATATCGAATTGAAATATTCATTACATTTTTTATTCGTATGGCGTTATAAAAAGTATAAAAAAATTATTAAAACATATTATTTTTAGTAAAATATTTAACTAAAAAAATTTTGTTTGAAAATCGCATCTTCGGCTTATAGTTTTCTTACTTTAATTTTTTTATTTATGTCTTATTAATATTATATACCAATATTCTCTTAAACTTATCATTTGAGGTAATGGGATATTATTCAAAAAATTTTTATAATGTAATATCGAAATTTGAAAGTCTATAGAGTTTCTATAGAATCAGTATACAGAAAACTTCAATATATTTTTAATAATATACAATTACTTTAAATGATGTGCCTAAGAGAATTATTGTTTTTTATTTTTTAAATTTATTACTGATTTTAGTGTGTTTAATAAATAATTTTAAATAACGATTATTATTAGATAATAATAAATAAGTAAAAATTTCTTAAAATTATTTTATTCTCATTCATAATAATTATTATTGTATTATTGTATTATTTTGCAATGAATTGTTCTATTAATATCGACCACATTCATTATCATTGCATTTGTCATGCGTTGGAATAATTTTTCCATTTTCCATTCGTGTTGTTGTTTTTATTTTAGATTTTGCATCATCCTCAATACCAATACCATATTTATTATTTGTAATACCGTTATTATTACCACCTGTAACAACAACCTGTTGTGTTAATAAAATAGATTGTTTAATATCATCATCCGTAATAGATTGTTGTAGTAATTCACCACAGCTATTAGTATTAATAATACTACTATCATGACAATTGCCACCACCATTGCTACCATCCATATTATCAATAATATCATCAGTTGAAATTGTTATCTTTTCTGTTTCATTTTCATTTTTTGTTAACAATTGTATAGGTTTGGGCGGGATATAAAACCACCATGCGCCAAAAAAGAATATAACAGAACATGCTTTACCAATCAGAGCTAATATCCACATATAACTAGAATTAAAATTATAAGGGAAAGATTTATTTTTTTTTTTAAATTAATTTTTAGAAAATTGTTTTATAATAATAGTTAAGAAAGTTTAACTGTTTTACTAATTAATAATTTTAGTAATTTTAATTTAAAATTAGCAAAATATTAAAAGTAGTTATTATTAAATAGTTGTTTTACATACCGGCTCATATATTTATTGTCATAAACTAGGCATGCACCATAATCATCACAAGATTCTTGCCATAATATACATGTTTCATCTATTAAAGTTCCAAAAATCATTGGTGCTGGTATTGTACCCAAAAGTCGTACTTTAATCCATTGTATACCTAATGCAAATGATCGTTGGTCATCGTGAACACATCTAAAAGAAATAATTTTTAATTAAATTTTAAAATTAATATAGGTTAAAAATTAAATAGCTAATTGAATTAATTTTTTATTCTAAAATCATGACAATGTAAAAAATATTTTTTATGTATGTTTACTGTAAACGAATATCAGAATTGCTAAGGCTTTGTCTAGATCGTCATTACATGAAAATATTTTAGATAAATAAAATTTTCATTAGATTTACTGCATTTGAAACATGAATACAAGCCACACGAATCAAGAAACACATTTTGCTATTAGGAAAAAAATTCCAACTGGAGTATTATGAAAGGATAAGTTTATTGCGTAAATTGCAGAATCTCCAGAATTCAGATAGTACGTTTAATTATTAAAAATGAGAAATCATAACATTTATGCCACCAACTTTTATGTTATTACAATCATGAATTCAATTTGAGCCCGCCTTAGGTCCCGGTCTACTCCAATGCTGTTTTAAAATTTAATTCAACTTATTAGTACATGAATAACTGAATTAAAATTAAAAATTAATTTATCTATTTATTCATGTAATGTGTCTAAAGAGAAATTTCGGTAATTTTCTAATTAAAAAACCATATTGTTGCATTGTGGAACTCGTGCTTATTTTAATTAAAGTAAATTATTATCTTCATGGTAGCATTCACATAAAAAGCAAAATTTGATATCATTAGATTTAGTTAGTGGTTTTAGTTTATTAAGTGGTAGTTTAGTACGAAGGTAAAATTATAGCACAATATCTACGTAATATATATATATATAGATTTCTGAATTCACGAAATCTCATAAAACTATTGAACAGTAAAAATATTTTAATATTCATACCTTAATGTTGCTGATAATGCTGGCATTGTAGCTAAAAATGTAAATAACATCAAAACAAAACAGAATCCAATAAAGTATGGTAAATGTGTACATGAAGATTCGCACATTGTATTTATTGCATCATAACTACTATTCTTTGGTGAATGAATACATTGACAATTTAAATAAATTTTTGAATTATCTAAACTTGTTTCTTCTGCACAACCGGCATAACATGGTGAATAATACATAATACCATCACTACCACATATTGGATCATAATTTAATTTATTGCAATTACAATCTGAATTACAATTATCTTTTAAATCATAATCACTGTAGTCCATTATATTGCTATCAGTAGTTGTTGTTACAATATCCGCTATATTATTTCCATTAGAATTTTTATTAGTATCCTTTAATTTCATTGATATCCTTGATATATCATAATTTGATGTAACACCAGCAAAATTTAAATTAGGACAATTTAATAGAAATACTGTTGTAAATGCAGTTGCTATTATTGTTGCTATTAAACATAATTTAATTATACCGGAACATGATAAATTTAATTTTTTTACTAAATAACCACCAAGAAATGTACCACCACCACCAGCTGGTACTGTTATAACACCCATTAATAATGCTGCCCATATTGGTGATATACTAAATTGATTTTCAATTTGTTTTGGTAAAAATGCAGCAAAACCAGCAATAATAAGTCCTTCTGTTGCACCAGCCAAATTTAAAAAGAAAAATGTTGGATTTTTTAATAATGATATTAAAGCTTTTGGCATTTCACGTAATTTTGTAAAATTTTGTGTTGATGAACTACCATGATGTGCTTCAGATATTTTTTCTTGTTGTAATTCTTCTGAACCAGGTAATGATTTTGGATAACCAAATATTGGTATTGCTAAAATAATACATGCAACTGCTGCAAATACAAAACCAATCCACCATGCACCAATCCAAACATTACTTTGTGGTGTTAATCCTAATCTGTATTGAAAAAAAATTAAAATATTAATTAATAATAAATAAAATGAGAATAAAAATTAATATAGAGTAGAAAAAATTTTCATTATTTATTTGGATATTCAATTAAGTACTATATATGAATTAAAAGGACAAGATGCAAAAAATTTTCAAAATTATTTGTACCCAAATTAGCAAATTATAAGCAATGTAGAAGCTCACAATTTCTATATTTTGCTAAAAAATAACAAAATATTTTAAATGTTATATGTGAAATGTTTAATATCGTGTGAAAATAAAGAATATTTCACCGAAAAATATGATCAATCAACAGAATAACACTTTAATATTTTTATGTGCAAGTAAAATTTATCTAGTTTTTGAAGAACTAAAAAAACCTTCCACTCGCTAATTTTTAAAATTGAAGAAATCTTAAGTTATAAGGTTCTAGTCTTCCAGTTCTAGTTAGATGAGCTTGTATTGAAATTCAATATAAACCCAAACAGCCTCCTCCGTATAGCATTTTCGCTTGAAATATTAACTAGGTCACTTCTATTATCACTGCTTCTCTATACAACCTCAGAGTACTTTACATAATATTTCCCAATTTTCAAAATAACATTAAATTCGTAACCGGTGCACATTTTCATATCTTGTTCTTTTTCATATCCTAAAAATACCATAATGAAAGCTCATTTTCATAATTTTATGTTCATTATTATTGTAATGTCCAATTATATTTTACCGTTTTTTAATCCTATAATAAATCATTGTAGAATATTTTTATGATAGGAAGACAAAATACCTACATAATAAACCAAACAAAATAAAAAAATAACAGAGTAAAAACAATATTAGAAGAAGGTCCTTGCAATGTTTTCACTTTAAAATCCTTAATAACATCAACACTATTTTGAAAAAAGAAATGGAGAAAAACAAAGAATTTTTGTAAAATAAAATTATTAAAATAAGTGATTCCAGAAATACCGTTATTTTAAGATTATTTTTGCTGTTTTTTTTTTGTTTTTGTATTTTTTTATGAAAAATTAAAATGCCTGCGGGATATTTGCACTTTTTATTACGTCAGTAAAAGAATGAAATTTTATGTTTTCTTCCTCTATAAAAAAATTAAAAACAAAAAAAAAAGAAAATTTTTCATGAAAAACTCTTAAATAATAATAAAGGATCTAAATGAAAGGAGCAACAACAACAGTATAAGAAAATAACAAATACGCGTAAATAAGAATTATTATGTAAAATGAGAAGTCGTTTGAAATCTTATGCAACGGTAAAAAATAATGGCAATGAATAAAGGTAAATAATAATACAACCAGGTAAATAGGGAAGAAAAAAAGAATGCGGAACACATTAGACTTTAGGGGGGGCGGGGGGGGGGAGAGAATGTAAAATGTACAGGTTGTGGTAACAAATATTTGGTACCCACCTGTAAAAGAAGCCCTAAAGCTGAAATATTACAAATATTTTTTCTGTTTTTCTTTTTTCCTATATTTTGTTTTCATCTCATTTCATTACTCCTAATATCCTTATATTTTTATATATGTATGTACATATTTTTCTTCATATTTTTTGTAGGGAACATTCGGGACATTTTAAAATTAAATTTGATAGGAAGAATTTGTTTCTAAAAAATTATGGTGTACATCATTTGCAAGCAGTTGCATTATTAAAAAAAAAATAAAAATATAAAAGAAAGGAAGAAAATTGTCTTAAAATTAATTTTTTAGTAATTTTACAGAAGCAATGTATGATGTTACAAATGTTACAGGTTGTATTAAAATTAATTGATTGATGATTCCTTTCGTGTATTAATTAATTAAGACATAATATTAGTCTTATATTAATTTTCTATTTGGGAATTTTAAATCGTTGAGATTGTTTTATTTAGAAATTATTAATTTGTTAGCTGCTGAATATGAGCAGGTGTTACTAAGGGATTAGCCGGAGTGAAATTGTCGGGGTCTCCTAAAAGATAAGGATTTATTAATGTTAAGATAGTTAGAGCTGCTAGTATGAGTGCTTCATAAAATTATTCAAATTAAAATATTATGATTTACGTAGTTCCAAAATACAGCAAGTTTTTGATGTAATGTGCAATATATATTCGTACAAAATTATTTTTTGTAAATGTTGATTAAGAAGTTACAAATTTTTGGAATTCATTTGCATTAAAATTATTTGACCGAAATCACCAGGTTTTTTCAGCTAGCTATACCTCATGAATTTTTTCTTATTTCTTTTTTTTTTCATTCTCTAAGATGTTTCCTTAATTTTTAGTAGGATGAATCATTTTTCGGACTTCATCAATATATTCAATAATTAGTCCTAAAAGAATAAGATCAATTTTAATTTTGTGTTTAAAAAAAATTTAAAGAATCCATAAACAAATTCCAAAAAAATTTTTTATTGAAAATTCTTTATTTATAAATAGCATCAAAATTTGATTTTTAAAAATTTGAAATATTTGTCAATTTTAAAAATAAAATTTGAAAGATTTGGAATTTTCTACTAAAAAAAAAAAATCTAGTACTCAAAAAAATTTTTTTTCGAAACTTTTCCTGGTAAAAAAAATTGATAGTTTTTAATTTTTCTCAGTTGGGGTAAAAAATGGTACCTATATGGTTTGGGATTTTTAAATGCATTTTACTCGGAATGGGTGCGATTTAAAAATTAAAAAAAAATATTTTCGGAAACTAGAGACTATTTGCCATCTGAAATTATTAAAATTAATCGCCAGGAGTGAATTTATAAAGTTTCGCCATACAAATTTCGCAAAATTTAAAAGATTGCAGCCAATTTTGCCGGTTTTATATTTTCATGAATTTTACATAATTGAAAAAAATTTATGGTGAATTCTTTATATGTATGCATAACTGAAATTGTAGCAGACGAGGTGACATTGGATTAAAACTGAGAGTGAAGTGAATTAAAGATGACTTGAGAGTATAGGTACAATACGAAAACGAAGCTATCTAAATTACCGTGAAAAGCAACATAAAATTGTTAGACTAAATTGTTACACGTGCTTGTTAAACTAAGTAAAGAATTTATGAATTTTCAGGTTCATATTTTACATTTCAAATTCAATGACTATACTTTTACAACAAAGATTCGGTATCAAAATAAGATAGAATTAAATAAGTTTCTATAATTAAATTAATTCCCATAATTAGAAAAGTATTATATTAATTTCAATTTTATATTCTTGCATTCTATGATTTTAAAACAATTTCATGAATTTTATATACATATGTGTCCACACGCTATATATGCAAATTTTGAATGCGAAAGGATCAAACCAATCACAATATCTTCAATTTCTTATTTCATTAAAAAGGAAGGGTATATAAGGGAAAGCAAATAATTTGTTTATATATTTATGGTTTGTGATTGTTTTTTATTCTTTTGATTAGTTGTTATATTTACTATTATTTGGAATATATACAAGCGTATATTATACAGCATAGTATATTCGCAAAGGAGTGTTAAAAAGATGACACCTTTTGCTTCTGTTGTTGATGTGATACTTGTATAATACAACACAACAAAATACCCAAAGGAAAAATATATAGATGATGAAGCATGTACTTGTTTACATCATTACGTGCACATACATATTATATTGAGTATATACAAAAGGTTATGACTATAAAGAGGGTTACCTTTCATGGTTTATTTTCATAAGTTTTAATACTGAATATTAACTACCGTTTTGTGCTATAATGATGGCTATGATGATGATGATGAAAAACAATATTTTCTAACATTAAGATTATTTTATTTTTTTAATATTTCAGGTACTTGGCGGTCTTGAGAACTTGAAGTAGAATTAAAACCATAGAAAATAACTAAAAAGATGAAGAAACAATAAAAAAGAAACAAAGTTTTAAAAATACAAACTTACAATACAAATGCTTATATATTCTCTTAAAAAAATACGTATACATACATACAGTAGAAGTAAAGTTAAAAAAAATTATTATGGGTACGGAATATAATACCCAAGGGTATGATAAATGCTGTTATAATGATAAGTAATCGCTCTTATTCTTGTATCTTTACTATACAATACGCAATACAAGATTTAGAAGACGTTCTCTCTATCTCTGGTTACCATTGCTATGGGTATATAATGTAAGATCACATTCCTGATGAAATTATTTGTTTTATTTAAGAAAAATCATAATATTTTTATGAAAGACATAATCTAAACGATTGTTATCTCTTATATTGTACAAACGTATCCAAACATACATATTATATAATAGAGTGATGAAAATCTGGCCGAATACCGGAATTACTTGCCATGAATATGAATATTATATTGTATAAGAAAGGTACTATAAAATCAAAATATAAGTATATACTTATAAATTTATAATTATGATAAATAATGTTATAATATTTTGTTCTTATATTTCATATTTTAAGGTGAAAAGGTAATTTTAGAAGATGAAAATGGAAAATTAGGTGAAATTGTTACTTAGCATCAATAAATAAAATTTATGACGGGGTTATATACTGATATTCATTCCATAACATCAGTTCCACAATAATGTTTTCAATTATGATGCATATCAGATTTGATTTTTAGCGAAAACAAAAATATATATTTTAATTAATATTTACTTTTATGCAAGTACTTATTATTTTTGCATTACATTAATGTAGTATATTGTAGAATAAATAAATACATAAATAAATTTTTGCCTGAAAGTTTGTACGTTACTCGATTTATTTTTAGTATTGAAGACTTTACTCTTAATTTCATACTCTTTTTTCTAAATTTCTCCGGAGAGAGGAAGCTCCGTATTTAAATAGGAATGAAATGTAATGTTTAAAGCTAAAATAATAGGATAACCAATATGAATTTGCTAGAGTTGATATTTGTTCTTCTTAGTAATTTTAACGAATTTGTCTAAGCCAGATTCATTATTTTAGAAATTGATACGAAAATATTCGATTTTCTTAACGTTTCATCTGTGAAAGCTAAAATATGATTGTTCTTCCCTGTTCTTCAATATATTATCTGTTCCAATTTTCTTCCCTATTTCAACAATATATAGACATAACATAAAAATAGTTTTAGTTATGCATTGCAATTGAGGTTCTTATAATAGAATTTTTTCTTGAAATTGTTATAAAATTATCAAATTTTAAAATAATATTTGGAACTACTTTTCTTTGATTGTGTTACGCTTACGTTTTATTTCTTTTATTTACAGGAAAGAACTGGCTAGTGCTAAGATGTTGAATATATCGGGTTTTGACATCGGTTACACTGGTTTCTTTAATACATACATATGTATTTGAAATATTAGTTCCGAATTTTTATAATTTACAAAACAATATTTTATTTCGTTTGAAACCAAATTTCTTCCTATTTATTCTTCTGGTGTATTATTTTGAATCAAATTTTGAAAAATTCCAATATTCAATTAGTTTATTTAGGAGCTTTGAAGTTTTTTAAAAGTAAGGATGCAGCCGTAATTATTTTTTATACAATCATAATGCCTTAGTTAAAATTAATTAGTAATTTGAAATTAAATTTAGATTGAAATAGAAAATTAAAAATATTTTGTCAAAAATTTATCAAAATTTAAATTTTTTGTCAAAATATTTGAAAAGAACAACTAAAATTTTCTACAAAAAAAAAAATCTAGTACTCAAAAAAATTTTTTTTTCGAAACTTTTCCTGGTAAAAAAAATTGATAGTTTTTAATTTTCCCCGTTTGTGTAAAAAATGGTACCCTATATGGTTTGGGATTTTTAAATGCATTTTACTCGGAATGGGTACGATTTAAAAATTAAAAAAAAAATATTTTCGGAAACTAGAGATCATTTGGCATCTGAGAATATTGAAATTAACGGCCAGGAATGAATGTTAAAAATTTCTCCATACAAATTTTGACATTTCAAAAAAATTATTTAGAAAGCAAAAATTGTTTTAAGTAAGAAAATGAATTTTATTTTTTATTTCAGGCTGGATAACAAAACAATTAAATCAGAGAATTAAACAAATTGCTGATGAAGTTATGAAATAATGGAATACAAAATTTTAAAAAATGCAGCCTGTTATTGTAGAATTTTAAAGCAAGAATTTAAGATAGCGTTAAATTTTGCGTTAATTCTGAACAATTGATTTGATTAAAATGTTGAACTATCTATGTATTTAGCATCATATTAAATTTAGAAAATTATTTCACGAAACCATCGTTATTTATCTAGGTATATCAAAAGCTTTATTTATAAGAACTAGATTTTATTTTAAAAAACGGAAATGTGCTGTTTTACAAACCAAAGATTTAATCGATTAGTTTTTTACTTTTCTTTTTCACAATTTTAAGAAAATTTTTTAACAAATTATTAATGCGCTTCAACATTTCAATAATAATTTCAATAGAAGGAAAGTAAAACTTTCCTAATTTCTTAAAAAGAAAATTATTTTTCTCGCTTTATTTTAATTTTGACAATATTATACCAGTTGCATAGAGCAAAACAAGAAAGATCTTAACTCTATTAATTTAGACAAATTTATCAAAAATTTTCAAATTTTCATCTTAAAAATTTCTCCCCAAAAATTTCTTTTTTTACATTAGGTAATGATTATTAAGTCGTTTCTAGGGCAAAAAATATATAAAATTAAATAACAAAAGAAACAACTTGATAAATATCCTTTTGTATATACTTTTACACTTTCTAAAAAATGAAACATTAACTTTATTTTATTTGATTGGAATGCCAATAAGTAAATATAGGTAGGTTGAATGTTTGGATTAGGGTGATAGAGTTGGATAATAATGTGTTGTACGCAAAAATTTTGAAATATAAGGAGGAAAAACACGTGCAAAGTGTATTTATATAAAAGGAAAATATTATCTTAGACTTTGTATTGTATTTGAACGTGTTAAACATATGTTATAAAAATGTTGACAAGAAAATAATATTAATTTTTTTGATATTGTTTCCTATTTAATACTAGTACAATGTGTTCCGGTTCTATAGTACTTTATCCCGGTAAACATAGGCCGTCTAGCAAAATGCAGATCTAACGTTAACCAGACTTTTTAGCAATACATTTTTAATTACTGAACAAGTAAATTTAATATTATTTGAATTTTGGTTGACACTCATAGACTCTATAAAATATTTTCAGTAACTAATTTAAAATATAGGGTCAAATTCATTTTACAATAGTTACAATTTATAAAACTGTAAGTATAATAATTAGATTTTGTGGGAAATTTCTGATTTTTATCGAAGTCCTTGTATATAATAAGAAAGTCAACTATCAGAGCTTGAAAAATTGAAGAATTTGAGCTGAAATATGTAATATTTATTCGCAATATACTCATTATAAATAAAGAATGTCTAAGGAGAAAGTCTTGTAATTTTTATTCAGACAAATTTTCTATGAAATTTATTGTAACTTTCCAAATAAAATTCAGTATTTTAATGCAAAAGAAAACTAACCTTACCATTTTCATTAAAATTAACAGGAAAATTAAAGTTTTTATTTATTTTTTAAGAATAAAATGTTTACAATAATTTATTCCAACTTCCAATACGGCACAATGAATAGAATATTATACATAAAAGATTTGGCCAATTCTACACGCTGGCAATGAGAATTAAAACCGAATGCATTTAACCTAAATGGAAACACACAGTTTATTTAATATTTAAACTCTAAGTAAAAATGAGTTTAACACGTATAATATGTTGAAATATTTACCATTCTACATATTAAATATGAGCATATACATATGTATACATGCATAAGAGTATTATACATTCTTCAAGGATATTTGTGTAAAGCAAAAGAAAAATACATATGAAAGAAAAACATTAATAAAATTTAAATTGATTTCCTTATTACTTTCTTCGTGGGAAGTCATTTTTCTTCCAATTTTTCAATATATTTATTAATATTTTCAATGTTATACGTCTTTAAAATATATCTAGTAGAAGTTCCCCATTGCCATGTTTAGTAATAATCAAGTATGTACGTCTATCGGGTACCCAATATGTAATTGCATTCCATTTGATTTCTTGAAGTCATGGTAATATTTAAGATTGAATTTTACTTTTTGATTTTTTTTTAATGAAAAGATTTAGCTTGAAAAAGATAATTGTTGGTTATTGTCATAGCATCTGAAAGATTTGTATAAGAATTACAAGAAAATAAAAGCAAAAATTCAAAATAATATTGGTTTATGGTTGTTGATTCTTATATGTGAGGACGTATAGTTAATTTGTAAGATGTCAAACGCAAAATATTAATATGTAATTTAATAATATAGTTAATGTACTTAGAAACTAAAAGATTTCTTAAAGTACTTGAAGTACTTATTGAATTCGGGAAGGGAATAATCCGTAATTGGATTTATTAGTTAAATAAAGTTTTTTGTTAAAAAAAAAAACAATTGGAAATGCGTGGGAAGGGAGAATGTTTCTCAGGCAATCACGGTTTTCTTGGAAAGAAATTGAACACAAATAAAATCAAGCTTGAAAATAGAATTTAAAATAATTTCATACCTTTTTATTTCAATCAATTTTTAGTAAAAAAAAAAAAGAGGAAATTAGAAGGTTTAAATACTTAATAAAACTTTTACGCGACAAAGTCAAATTGAACGAATAATTTAAGAAATATAAGCATTGCAGAGAATATGAAAAAATTACATATCCAAGTACAAAAGATTCAATTATTTTCATATTTCACATTATACCCCAAATTTACTCTGTCTTTGCTGATTATAGATCGATATAAATTACAAAGTGGAGCAAAACTGCCGAGAATAAAATTACTGATTCCGAATTGGTTTCATTTTGAAATTCATTCCCATTTTTTTTTGAAAAAATTTAAGATCCTCTTTGATGGTGATTTTGGTAGGGAATAGCCTTAATTTCATGATTCTAAAATTGTCTGAGTTATACTAAATTTCACTGCACTCCAGATTTAATTACAAAATATTTAAATATTGCAATTTTTCAATTTTTCTGCTAAGTCAACTTTAGGTAATTTTCCCTTATTCTCACTTGATACTTGATATATTCGCAAAACACGTGAACTGAAATCTTCCAAAAAAAAACGTGAAATTTCCAAAACACTAAAACTTTAAGTAAAAAAAAATTAACTTTAATATAAGCATACATACATATATGAAAATTATAAAATATTTCTCATAAGCCTATCTGTATGGTGTCCTTGTAAAATATTAAGTTTTAAAATTTCATTTAATATTTTTATAACAAATAAATCTTATTATTTTTTGGCTCTTTTTAAAATTTATTGCATCTATGTATTAACTACTAACACAATATGACACGAGTAGTATTCATAAAATTCTTTTAATATCATCCTACAAATATATTTAAATATTTTTATATATACTTAATGAAAATATTTTTTTATTATACTTACAGTTTTGAATCTACAGTCATAAAATCAGTATAAATTAATAGTAACTGCCCTCCAACTACATAACCAACAGCTGGTCCAATTATTGCCATTGTATAATAAATTCCTGTAATATATAAGGGAAAGCCAAAAAAAAAATTGAGCAAACATCATTTTAATTATTATTATTATTTATTTATTATAATTATTATTATTGAGTAGTCTTCTATACATACTCGTTATGTATATTTCAGTATAACACATGCATAAATGTACAGGAGTAATAAACCCGGTACATTTATGTAAATTATTCTAATATTCACAAATACTTAAAATAATATAAGTGAAAAATATAAGAAAAATTAAAAATTTAATTTTCATTAAAGGATTAAAGAGTTCCATTTTATTGTTTTTGTTATTTAATGTATATATACACAAGAGTTATTAAGTAAAAGAGTACTTTATTCCACTTTTGAAAAAGTACTCCTTGTTAATTGCAATTTTATATAACAAAAGGACTATACATACATTATATTAAAGTTAAATGCAAAATATGTTTTTTCTTCTCCTCAATAAAAATAAGTTTTAATATGATTTTATAATAGCTTAGCTAATATAGACCGCCAAAAAATTTTATAAAGTTAATATTAAGTACATACATATATTTTAATTAATATTTGAGTATGTGAACGAAAAGGGTTGAAAATAAACACGTTGTATGGTTGAAAATGGAAGTGATCTTATTTAATATTACTTTAATTGAGATAGCCATAACGTTGTGGACCCCTTATATTTAAATACACATGCATTATACTTGTAGTGTAATACTACCTACATTTGATATGGAATTTTATTAATCTGAAACTAAACAGAAATATATACAGAAAATTATAGGTTTATCATATGTTTAATTATTTTTATAATAATTACATATTAACATAATTATTATTGAGTAAGTTATATGTATATGATATCAATACCACAACCTAAGTATACAAATAACTATAAAATATTGTAGATATGATTAAGAGTTTAAGATGCTGTAGGTTCCGTCCGATCCGATTTATATGTGAAATACGAGGATCAAAATAATGTAAATGTGCTATACAATAATATAGGCTTATGGCTCAATTCGAAATGACCATCAAATGTTTGTTATTATTAATATATGAATTTAATTTCGATTCTGACTTTCATTTCCATTGCAATTTCCGAATATATTTATGTAAAGTAATATATTTAGTAAATACTCCAAAGTAATTAAAAATCCCTGAAATTGTGATTTTCAAAATTCGGTAGGGAGAAAAATCAAAATACTTCCTAGTGTTGAACTTAAGAATTATTAAAAAACACGCATTTATAAAAGATAAAATATTGCGTAATTTTTGATGAAGAAATGGAGGAAATCCATATTTTTCAGAATAAATTTAATTTTAATAATCTTGTCATTTTAAGAATGACTATTCCGATACCGATACTAAGAGTCGAAAAGAGAATGATAATTTTATTCTATTTTGCTAGTATGAAATTTAAAATTTTTATTTTAGATTAAATAGAAATTGTTTTCTTATTTTAATATTTCCCGTCTGTTATATTTCATTATGCTTATATATATATACAAAATTTAACCTAGTTTACATTTGGGAAAAGATACCTCAAGGGTCCATTAGAATACTACACAAAAGTTACTACATTTATCCCATTTAATATATCCTAGTTTTACTTATCACATATAATTAAAAAAATTAAATATTAATTGGATTCAAAGTAGATTAAATATGAAGTGATTCTTTATTATTAATTCAATGGTTTGGTGTAAATGAAGACACCCCAAAGCTATTAACTTTTGGATGTTCATCTCATTTATATGTTTTGCTTTTTTCTTTTTCAAAACTTTGTCCTAAATCAGTTCAAATTTATCTTTTAATACTTGCATAATAAAAATAATAATTTTTCATGTTTTTCTATTTTAGCTTTGGTTGACTTCTGAATTCAGTTCAAATCTTTTTTGCTAAATGCATTTAAATACCCTTTTACATGGCATACAAGTATGTGAGCATTATGTTATTATTTTACAATATAAAAATGTCTAGGATCACAAGAAGGACATATTCTTTACTTCCTTTTTGTTTCTTGTTTTTTCTTTTTTTTTGCTTTTTCATTTAATGCCTGAACACTTGTTCTCCTTTTTTTCTTTTATAGCTTATTCATTCACAATGTATAAATTTTTTATTCATTCCTTACTTCAATTTTTTTAACATTTTCAATATTTTATTATCCTTTTTCTCGTTTCTGATTTGAATTGATGTACTGTAAAACTACATCGATAACTTGAAATTTAAACAGAAAAAGAAAAAAACAATTTTCTTTAAAATATAACTTTAAAGAGTTTTTACCCCTATATTCACTTTTAAACCGAAAAGATTAAATAAAAGAAAAATAACAAGTATCAAAGTGTTGTACAAGTTAAAGTTGTTTATTCATATTCATATTAAGGTATCTTCATAGAGGAAGAAGAGCGGGTGATCCGATTTTTGAAAACGAATGTAAATTTTATGATTTTGAATAGTTTGAAATTTGAATTTAACTACTTATATGGCATTAGGAATAATTAATTACAATTCTTGTAATTTCATTAAATTCTGAATTTTTGAATTAAATGTGTGTCAATTAAATTGAGGTCATTATTATAACTAAAATAATAATCAGGTTTATGGTAAAATTATACTCTTGTAGCATCCGTACGACTAGCGTTATATACGCTAATCTTTTCTTATAAAAGCAATGTGTTTTTTTGCTCTCTCTCATTATTAGTGCAACAATTATGTAGCAATTCTGAATTTTGAAATTTTTTATTCCGAATTCGAATTTTGTGAGATATTTAACTTTCACTATATTATTGCCATTATTATCGTCGGCCAAAATAGACCTAAATCAATTTATTTTAAATGTTTCTGTAAACCAATTTTACGCTAGTATTTTAAGACCAATATGTCCACTAACATTTCGTCTTTCAAATTATATGTACTCAAAGAAATATTTCTTTACAGAGTTACTCTGTACTTATTCCTATATTAACTATATATAATATTTAAACAAGTGTTTTACTGGAGTTTATTATCACGAATGTGTTTCTATATATGCATTACAGTATTTTACACCATAAAAATCAATTTTGTCTCTTTAACATACCCATTTATCATGAACATTTAGGTGTATACAACATAATCTAAAAAGAATTCCTCTATTATTTGTATGTACCTAGTATACATGAGTATTCCTATTGAGACTTTAAGTAGGTTTATTTATTCCTGCAAGGCTTATATTTATTATATAAAATAAAGGATACCATAATATCACTATTGAAACCCCATGTACATCTTGTTTAAATATCAACATATTATATGTATACATAATATGTGTGCAAAACAACCGCTATCTCACATCATCTCATTCTTTTTCAATTATACAATTTGTTAAGCGGTTTAATGCAAGTAGAAAAAAAATCTGTAAATTCTATTTTTAAAAGTTACCACATATACAGGATAATAATAAATCTACCAGAATAGTAAAAGTTTCATAAAATGAAGAGAAACTTCATTGCAATGGTATGGATACCTCCACAAAATAATGTACATATAGAAGAATTGAAAAGATTCTCGTATTTCTTTTTAAATACATTCAATTGGGTTCTATTCTACCACATATTTTAAGTTTAACAATTTAAAAAACAATAAAAGTGATTTTTTTATTCTATATAATGTTGTATTGTAGGTATTTACTGCGAATAAGAAAAATTTTGTTCAATACATACGCACACTGCGGCTAATTAAATTAAAACCTAAAAAAATTTACAAACAAAATTTGATATAGACGAGTTATAGTAAAGAGTTCAGAGGAGTCATTTTTGAAAACTAGTCAGTTTTTAGCTATTCATTTTGAATTTGAAAATTTCTACGTCAGTTTGAGTTTTTGCAAGTCATATAAATTTGTTTTACAGGAACTTGAGCTAAAACTATTAGATAGTTACAGGCCATTGAGCTAAAATCTAACAAATTGCAGACATTTAATACATTCAGGGGCCATTCTAATACATTGAAGAAAATTTATTGATAAATAAAATGGCAAATTCGATTATTACTTCTCTGGCAAATTCAATTATTATTTCTGAGAAATTATAGTATCTTATGGGAATCGAGACGTAACCTCGCTTTCCAAGCCCAACTAACTCACGTGAATCTCATTACGAATTTTTGCGGTTTTAATCTAATTCACTACATTATGTTGCTTCAATAGAAGTGAATATGTTTTAAGGGAGAATAATGTGCTTAATACACTGCAATATATGAAAATGAAAGATAATGTATAGAAGAGAAGATATACAATGAAGTAAGTGGTATTTTCGTTATACTTTAATTCAAATCTAAAGATTTATTTTTCGAAATTTTCGATTTATATTATTGAGAAACTATAAATGAGAAACTTCTTTGTAAAAGGCTTTCTATGTAAAGTTAGGTATCTATAAAAACCCATAACTACCTACTCCTATGCACATTTGAAAAATATTTCAATGAATTTGAATAATAAACAAAAAAAGCGCGCGAAAAGTAAAAGCAATATAATAAATTGTTTCAAATGACTTTTTAACCACCTGTGACACTATGCTATTACGAAAATTGTTAATAAATTTTGAAATAAAAAGAAAACCTAAAAAGAATCATTCTTTTAAAGATCTCCTGTTTAAAGATATCCTTTTAAAAAATATTTTTATTTTATACAATTTGTACAGGTCTGTAGAGTGTATAAAAGATTGTATTATACTAAAATTTCATTTGGTAATACAAAAATACATATACATACATATATTTATGAATTAATAAAGAATTTTTAATATACATAGGGAGACATATTCGCGTTTGCCCACAATTATTTTTTTTGTTTTTGAAATTGAAATAAGTATTGAAAGACACTGTATTTACAACATCCTGAATTTTTAAAAGGATTCGTTTCTTTAAACAGCTGCATACATATGTATATTAAATTTATAAGCAATTCACATTCTGATTGTAAACTAATCGAAAAAGTATTTTATGATGTCCATTTTATTGATATCTTTTAAAATTTACA